CTGGTGTTTGAGCAATTACACCATTCACTAACGTACTTGCTGTGGTTGCTGATACTAGAGGTAAACCTACAACTGGAGGAGTCGATACTACACCAGTTCCTGAAAGAAAATGTAGTAAATAATGAATCATATCATGTAATAATAAAACAAGATACTTTATGATTACAAAACTTAAATTATATATACCAGTGGACATTGGTGCAATAGATGGTACCATAGTAGAACCACCTGCAATCATACTAGTACAAGATAATGGTTGCATAGGCATTGCTTGTGCCATACCAAAAGCAGCCATTGGTGTTGGAGTTGTATTTAAAGGTGCAATTGGTGCTGCTGCAGACATCCCTGTTTGAAAAAAAACATGTTTATTAAATATATGTTATCTGCTATTAATATCTGTGTGATATTAAAAATACTATTCGATGAATGATTTAGTTAATAATGTTAAATTACTAATTATCATAGTTTATTATCTACAGTAGTGCAGTATTTCTTATATTAGAGTCTTAGCTTAAGGTATAGGAAAATCAAGATTTAAGAATACCATAAAAGAATATTTAAGTTACATTATTTATTAGTTAAATTAAGTAAAAATAACAACTATGTCTTTCTACAAAATTTAATAAAGTATACCTGAAAACTCAAGATCAAGTAAATCTGTAAAAAAAGGAATAAAACATCATTCACAAATCAATAAATTTTCTGATTCAAATATATCACTGGAAACTAAAAATCTAAATAAATATTAAAGAAATAATGAAGAAATAGAGCGTGGACGAAAGAACATATGGTTTTACCCATGGTAGATGTAGTCATTGGTTGTGCAGATTGAACAACAGGAGGAACAATAGCCGTTGCAGAAGCAGGTGGTACTTTGACTGGTGAAATCCCAGTAGCGACAGGACTATTAGGAAATGAAGGCGGTGCTGGCTTCGGTGGTGGACCACTAGTAGCAGGTGAAAAATTTGCCCCTAAAATACATAATTACATTTTTAAAAACAATCTCATTAAAGAATTACTTTAAATAAGATGTATAAAATAAAAACATTATATAACAGCAAAGCAAAGCAATAGCAAAGTAATTGAAAAATAAAATAATATAAATTACAGCTGCAACAACTGGAAAGATTAGTAATAAAGGCAAAATTAATTCATAATTATGTGCATTTTATACTAAAATGTATGTATTTGATGCTATTGGATGGTCTTTTATTAAAGTAAAGTGTTTATTGCAATAATATATAATGCAAAAAGGAATCATTTCTTTATATTAAAATTTAATTCTAAAGATATGGGAAACTATCTAGATTTACATGCAATTTTATCTTTTAAATAAATGGATAAACTACTTCTCAAATCTCCTTTGCACTTTGAACATACCAATATTTGAGGGTGGTGTAGGTCTTTGAGAAGGACCACCACTAGGAGTGGTGGTAGTGGTAGTGGTAGTACTTGTAGAAGGCACGATTCCTTTTTTTTGCAGCACAAATATTATATTATTGTATACAGAGTTGCATAAGTGGGCAGTTATATATATATAAAAGATATATATAGAGAGGAAAAAATAATAAAGTAGAATATGTATATGCGTAATCAGTAAACAAAGCCATTGCAACATTGATTATACATATAATGTCACATATAATATACATACTGTATTGTGTGTTTTTATAATGAAATAAAAATATAGATGTAGACATGAAGCATAAAAATATATCTTTTGAAGATAAGTGTTTGTGTTATCTTTTAGTGATATGTAATTGTGTAAAATATAACGTAATACCATTTTGATAATGATATTGTACACATTATTATATAAGTTAATATTAAATAATATGTATTATTTACATTACAAAGTTAATTATATTTTATGTTCCTAAAATGATACCAATGACATACAATATTTTTACAAGTTAGATTTAATAAAATATAAATAATTATTTAAAATATAGCGAGTTCTTTCATGCAAAAATGAGTCTTTGCATAAAAATATTAATGCATATACAACAGCACATCATAACATTATATTATTGATAATATCAAGAAAAAGGAAAAAATATGCCTTAAAGAAAAATCATAATATTTTTACAAAACTTGAAAGAAAGGTACGAACTAGAAGAAAATTCAGACATAATCATTCATATGTAAACATCCACTTCTTATAACATACCCACAGAGGGTGGTGCAGGTCGAGCAGGTGGCTTTGACGCTGTGTGAGTTGTGGCATGTGTAGTGGCAGCCACATTCTGTCTACTTTGTCGTGATGCTGTGTAGTATGATGCATAAGTATAATAATGCGACATAATGCTGTTTGTTACATAAAATGTATCTTTTTTCTTATTTTTTTGGATCTATAATATCTATAATAAACAATGGTAGTAATTGAAATAGACTCTAATTCTTAATAATGGAATATTTTGCTGTTATGATATACATCAATCATAAATTCAACTGAAAGATGATTTGTATTTGTTGTGAAATAGAATTCTTAACAGTAGTGTAAGAGTTTTGATGAATACTATGAAAATTTATATTTCTTTCACCATATGTACTCATTTATATATGCTTTAGATACTTGAACATAAAATTTTTAGAGTAATCACCTGGTAAGGTCATTGGTGAAACAGGCCTAATAGCATGTCCTGGTAATGGTCCATTTACAGGTGGTGGTCCTATAAGTGGACGTGGAACAGATCCAGTCATAGGCATCCCACTAATTAAAGGCTGTACTGGAACTTGCGGTGGAGCAGATAAATTTACTAATGAAGCAACATTATTCTGTGGTAGAATATTAGCAGCTCCGTTTGTTAAGTTCGTAACATTACTATCACCTAAATATTATCAAACATTAGAGTTCAGGACTCATGATTGAAGTAATCTTGATTATTTACTATCTTTATCATACTTACTGGCAGATAGTGACTTCAAACTCTGTATTAAAGCTGAAGGCAAGGCTTTAGGAATTTCAAAACCACGTAACTTTAAATTAATTAATTTACATGCAATACTAAATTCATTTATGTCCATTTTTCCATCTGCATCTGTATCTGATAAAGCCCTATATAATCATGTTTTTATGATATGTATGATAATTTCTGAAGATATTAAATATCAGAGTGATATAATAATAAAATGTTAATACCATATTTGTCCAAGGATGACAGGTGGAAGCTGTGATTTAAGTAAAAATTCTTTTGCTTGCTCTCCAGTAACAACTCCATTGATTGGTTTTAAAGAATCAAACTGCTCTCTATATCTTGCACGTTCTCTGGGTTGGATTACCCAAGGATCCATACCTGAAAGAATTGCCATCTCCTTTTTTATCTTATAATATTCAAATAAACGACTTCTTTTGAATGAAAGTAAAAGTATTTGTGAAATAGTCTAATATTCAATCAATAATATCTACAAAATCAGAAATTTCAGTTCTCTCCTTAATTCAGTTACTGTCAACATGACAACTAAATAGGAGCATGCCTGTCACTAGGCTTGGAAACAAAGAAACAATTGACTTACCCGGAGTTTGAGGGGTGGCCATCTCTGTTCACCCGTAGGTGACCACCGAATCAAATCTGTAATTAAAGAAATATATAACTTTTATAAAAATTATTGTAGAAATCGATGAGAAAAATTTATGATTTCAAGGTTAGGTCATGGTGACCGAACTTAGCGAAAATGACTCGCTATGTACCTCACGAAAGAAGAATTGTCGAAACGCTATAAATTTAGCGTAGATTCAATCACGAACAAACCCAATTAACTGAATACTACGAGTTCATGAACTTGAAGATTGATCGAGACCCTAACGCACACGTATAAGAGCAAGATTTTTTCTCACGCCAGTTACACAAACATACAACAGTGAACTACTTTCTTTGGCTATGAGACCTCTTTTACAATTTTACTAAAAGAAATTCATGATTGCACGTCGCGACGTTAGCGATCCTTTACTAAGAAACAGAATCAGACAGATTTCTTCACTATACCGACAGTACGCGGGTCGGCCCACACTACTGACGTACATACGTCACTTTCACGACCTCGGTTATTTCCGTAAATCTTCGGGAGGAATCGATAGCTCACCCGAAACCGCCTCGTTCATTTTCGGCAGAAATCGCTATTTCCGCAACCCTTAGTTCGAACGTTCAAATTTCCTGCACTTCATCCAATAGAAGAAATTCTTTAACACGTATATCATATTTATTCGTGATACAATGTTTGATTAATCCTATAATTTAATATATAAATATTGGTGTCGATATAATGAAGTATCGTATTTCCTTGAAATTTACTCCATTAATCTGGTCGACCTTGTTAAACACATATGCCAGAAAGAAGACTTCACAATTGAAATTAAACAATAGATTCAGCTGATAGAATAATACGGTAGTAATTTAATATTTTACGAACAAGTTCAGGTCAAAAATGGTTAAGTAGAAAATTCTACACGATGGTTCAGATGTTATTACACTGCATCAAACGATCAATATATTGTTTACTCGTTTAAAAATATAATCTTACATCGTTATACTCGAGACCGGAAATATGAATAACCTATTAATTACCATCAACTACTTTTTTTAAACAGGTATAGAATCAATTGGTTCATTGATATTTGCAAAGAAGGAAAAGGAAATATCTAGTAACTATGCAAAATACAAAATTGAGAAGAAAGTAGGAATAAGGAAATCTTTTTTTTTTTTCTTTTGAACAACTGGAAATGACTAATATATGAAAGAATTTGAATATTTAATATTAAGATAAAGGTAAATAAATAATAAACATTTGACATTTTTTCGCTTTTACCGCTGTGTTGTTTTGTGCTTAAATCGAATATAATTAGACTGTTGTCCAATACATGTAAGCCTGAAATATTGTATTAAAGTGAGATTTCAATTTACCGACAGGATTCCATGTTGCCACCTTCTCCTCTACATGTTCGAAATACGCTACTTTCGTTCAATGAGGAGTAATGTGAATTACACGAAGTTACAAGTAGCCTATGCTTAACACGTCCTTGATTGTATCTGTTTCATGCCCACTCTAGATAGGTGAACACGACCTGGAAATTACAAAGCTTCATTTCATTGTCAGTTAAGCTCATGCGAACGTTAAAACGAGTACGGACTGTAGTGAATCGGTTTCAACAAACAAAACTCTCTCTTGACATGGAGAACACTGTTCCGCGGAATAAACGAGGTTTCCTATCCTCGATACCTTCTGAATCTTTATGGAAAACTGAATGTTTATAGTTTGTAAATAATTAATCGTAAATTCGATCATAACAACAATCATACACGCGAATATCCTCTTTGATCGTTGTAGTGTGCTGATATAGATATTGTTAATCAAAAAATTTAAATGTGCTTCTTACTAAGTGTCATGATTTTTAGCGATGTAATTATATAGCAATTGTATCTGTGAAATATACCAATAGTAAATGTGTCTTATGTTTGTACTGTTCGAAATGATATACATAGTTATACATCCAATATAATTGATTGTTGTATCGTGTAATATAATCAATGACCGTGGGACGATTAAAATTTCATTGGATCCAAAATTTAAGTAAGTTTTATTGTATTAATATTATTTTTTTATATGTATATACTTAATTATGTACTGTGACATTTTCAAACAGATTTTTAAATGTTATAAATGGTATCAAGAATGATCGAATGATTGTAATACCAGTGATTAATATGTTCGCTGCTATTCCCGTCCTGCCATTTGAACACAAGATCTATATGATGTTAAATCATGATGACGCTGTCTAATTATATTATTACCGCGATAAAGATATAAAAATAGAAGTAATATATAACTCTGTGTATGTGAAGGAGGAGAAGTAAAAATACAAAGATATATAAAAATAAAATTAGGAATGAAATAGTAAAAGGTATCCAAACAATCATCTTTAAATAGCTACTCCGATTTCAATAAAATATTAAGATATGCAATTTCTAGGAGAAACTGAACATTCTTCATGGATTCAAATTAAAAAAATTTTACACTATCGATGTACATATATTTTTATTATATCAATTGTTTGCCTACCAGTATTGCTATTAGTTAATTTCGATATCATAAAAAATTGTTAAACTAATAATTGTTACATTTTAAATTTCCCATTGGATTTATACATGCATACATATGTACCAAGATCTATTTATATATTATTATACATTAATTATTTATTTATTTATACTGTACATAAATTTATAAAAGAAAGCATAAGAAGATGATTTTTTTATAGCACTCGTTATGATTCTATACTTAATGCTGTCGCCCAACCGGACTGTGGTCCCATTCAGAATGTACACTGTTAATGCGAGGTGATTACGCATTTGTCACCAGTCAATGCCAATCGTTTCGAGTAGAGAACCGGTAGAGTTCGACGTTAAGGCATTACAGTACGGATTGCATCTATCAATTGACATGAGGATAGTTAAGTGCGCTAACCTACACAAAACAAGGAAAAAGCAGGTGTTTCGATGATTCCGAATGCTGTTAGAAGTATTAAATAACGTTTAATCGATTTTGTATTTATATTGATCGTACTTTATTGGTGCCAAGCTCTTTTTGCTCTTTTCTACACTAATGTCTCCACAGAGCCAATTGCTATCCGATGCTGAACGCTATTCTAATAATTTCTCAATTAATAAAATTGAGGACAAAATTAAGGACAGTAGAAATGTAAACATAATTCAAGTATGTAATATAAATTAATAAAAAATAAATAATGAAAGTAATTTTAATCCAGCTATTTACAATAGATATTTTAAAAAGAAAGACACATTATTGTAGAGCATACATTATCAGCAAGTTGAATTGTATGACATGCATTAGAATCATGCGTCTAATCGCATTTCTGTTTTGTACGCAGAATTGTGCATGAATGTAATTTAAAGAATAGCGCACATAGTTGAATACTTTGTTACTATTATGCTCAACATTTTATTCGCATTGCAATGTAGTGCAGTTAACAGATATTTGCTGCCTTTAGAATGAAACAACCTTCCCTTTTTGGGATTGAATTGGTTACTCAAAAATGTCGAACAAACATTTCATTCCAAATGCAATCATGCATTTCTCCCAATACTATCGAACGATATCGCCCATATGAATCAATATTCAACTGTACATGAGCATGAAACTCGACGAGAGGTCAAGTGCAAGTATAATGCACAATATCAAAGTACAATAAATCAAATATATGATTCGCTCTTGTTAACTCATATTGAACAAAGTTGACAACGTATATACGAATGAATACTTTTATGCATTGCAAACATTTTCGAAGCGATGATGCATTGGAATTATAAATTATATTTTTATAAATATTTAAAATATACATATATTTTCTTTCGTACGAGTAAAACGCAGAGCGTAAAGTAACATAAAGTTTAAAAAACATTATAATTATGTAAAATGTTACTATAAATCAAATGGATATTCAATAATTCATAAATTGTGTACAACGCCATCTTTCGATGGCTTTGGAAAGTACATATTCGGTATCATAGGGTCTTCGACCTGTCCTTTTCTCGTTAGTGTGTGCTTTCAGTGCTTTGACGTTTTAATGTGTGACGTGAGCCCCCGAACTAGCTGCCACTCGCTGGGAAATCTACGATTCTATGACAGAGACAGACAGGTATAAAAGGTTGACATATGTTTCGCGTGTAGTGGGAAGTACAAATTGGTTCACTTGTCGTGGAACCGCTGCTTTTACGTTCATTATCGATTAACTGTGCATACTTGGCCGGCCGGCAGACAGTCGACGCGACGCCGGGTCAGCTAAGCAACTAATAAAAAGTTCATATGAACGATCGCGAAAGCAATCCTCAATCATAAGAGGGGTATATGTTCACACGTTCTGCGTATTAGAAAATAATATTGCCAGAAGGTTTCGTACAAAAAGAGTAATTATATCATTGATCATTTCTGTGAAACAATCTGGTTCATTAGCATGCCAACTATGCGCGAGTTTCTGCTCAACAAATTTACCAACGCGCATGCTCGTAGTACAAAATACACGCGGGAAAATATTGCAGATGAAAACGTAAACTCCATGCAAATATTCACTCTAGAACTTAAGATTTAATCATACAATTTATAATCTTACACTTTTCTATGCTGCAGAACATGAGTCACTGAATATTTGCAGCAAAAATTATGTAAATATTTGCAATAACAATGATGAGGATTTCCTTAAACATCTGAATATTGTTGTCCCGTAACCAAGATAAACATTGTTGGAATGCACATTGGATAAAATGGAATATGGAAAGTTGTGGAAGCACGATCTTCATCTCGTATGCGAATAGACGACGGATATATATTCTAACACAGAGACATGTTAATGAGGAAGACGATTTCATAAAATCTTAGGCCTTCGAATATTGTTGACTCTACATATCACCAATGTTTTGAAGCGTTCACGTTAAGTCAATCATCCATATAAAACATCGTATAAGAGCTGAAATGTTGTTTACCTTGAATCTTTAATAGTTTCTTTATTTAGAATAGAGTATAATATAGTACTCAATACTTTACATTTCATTTGTTTCAGTTTTTGAATCGAATAACATCAAATTTAGAAATTAAGGAATCTATTAGGTTCAGTTAAAAGTATTGTTAAGATAATTGTTATGTATAATTGTTGATAATATATTGATCTTTTCAATATTTTAATATTATAACGAGCAATATTTGTAAAAATATTCAAACTTGAAGAAAGGATAATGTTGGTAATGTATAATTAATTCACAAAAGAATATAGAAATTTAAAACTGCTGCTCTGTAAAAAATTAAGAAAATAGGAAATGTGACTTATTATATCCTTTCTCTCTAGTCTTCAGTTGAAAGGAAGTCAAGTGATCCTGGGGAGCATTTAATGAAACGGATGACTCGGCTGGCCAGTTTCCCGCCAGTAGCCTGAGTTTGGTGTCTGTATTTCTACGTTAAAATTTCTCAGAGGGGGATGCAAACGCCTCCAGCGACTTTCTTGCTTCCTCCGCGAGTGTAGTTCACGGGAGCGCCCTTGCAAGGACAGCGGCCTTTCAGGGCTTTCAAGCCTTTCGGGGCGAACGCTTAAAACGAGGCAAATGGACAAGAGAAAGCGAGTCAAGACGAGTATACAGACAGAACCTGCCGCCTTCTCTCGCTTTCCTGTGTCTCCTTCTGTCTCCTTCTCTCCCCTTCTTCTTTCTCCGTACCGCCCATTCTTCCCTCCTTTCATTTACCTCCCTCCAAAGTTTAAATACTTCCCTTCTCCTCTTTCCTTCTCTCTGGTTCGCAGGAAACCAGTCGCGATTTTTCACGCGGTGGGAACTAGAAGCCGCTCCCTACTATAAATAGCCTTCGAGTTCGCTCTCGAGCTCTGCTCTCTCGGCCTCCAACGGCGATGGGAGTAGCTAAAAGGGGGTAGCCATCCATGGGCGCCGACACACTGACGTTTTAACATTATTTTTTACCACCAGTTTCTAATTCTACATTCTGCTTCAACAAGGATGCTGTGCCCCTTTCTATCAACACTTGGACTCGCGATAACGATTTCAAGGTGGCACCTTTTTTCTTTATTTTGTTTACTTTACTGTCCTCTTTACTAAACTTGATTAATTAACGATGGAATTGTTTGTAGATAGTCATTAGTAGACTGTGAATCTGTATACACGTATGGGAAATTTGAAGGTACAAAAATGCACAGAAAACACATAATATGCAAAAATATATGAAACATCCGAAGTATAATACTCTTTACAATATTTAACAGATAAAACAATTTTCTATCTGAGTTCCATTTTACAAATCATATTTATAAAAATACGTTTTTTCATAAGTGGTAGAAGACAATGGAAGATTGTTTTTTATCTCTGTGTTTTAATTAGAACCTTTTTTTGTAGAAACATTGAAGTTTGGCGCAACTAAAAATGTTATGTTAAATGGGATCTTTAAACTTAAATGAGAAATATGCAGTTCCAAAATGTTCAAGAACATTGCCTTTGATAAATACGGAAAATTTAACCAGTTATATTCGCATCCTTCATAGAACACATTGCTTGAGGCAAGCAGTGACGCTATTGGAAATTATTCGTTTCCCTAAGGTGCGCGATAACTGTAAAATGTGAGCGTTCCAAGAGAATGTCTATCCACGTGGGTCGTGGAATCACGCGTCAAGGGAAGGCGTGGTTGCTGCGATCCCGTGTGAAACAGCATGTTGATCAGGTGGATGGATTTTCAATAATACTTGTATTTTTATCTAGATCTTCATTGTATTTCATAAACTTATATAATTTTTATTATAATGTATACAGCTAGAAAGTTATGTCAAATTCATTTACTAAAGTACAAAAAAAAGATTAAAGATTCATAAAAAATGATAAAGTTAATTCTGTGGGATAGTTAATGGTGGATTTGAAAAATTATTAATTTTCCCCATTTTAGACGAAATTCTATCGGCGCCCATGTAAGTCATGACTTTGTACGCGCGTGACAGAGGAGTAGAAGGGATGAGCGTTGGAATTTTTATGGAAGGAAAAAAAGGAAAAACTTCGTGTCTGCGACCA